AGCCGGAGGCGAAGCCGAAGCCGGCGGGATGGCCGCTCCGCTGAGCGACGGGGAACGGAGAAAGCAGATCAGCGTACGGGGGATCGCGGGGCTGGGGGACGTGGCGGAGGTGCGCAAGAGCTTCAACCGCCATCTCCATTTCACCCTCGTCAAGGACCGCAACGTCGCCACCCCCCGCGACTACTACTTCGCGCTTGCCCACACCGTGCGCGACCACCTGGTGGGACGCTGGATTCGCACCCAGCAGCATTACTACGAGAAGGACCCCAAGGTGAGCGAACCCCCGGGGATGGCGACGGAAGGGGCCCCCCTCGTCCCACGGGCATCCCCACGGCCGCATCTCGCCCTGGCCGCGTCCCCCGTGGGCATCGCCGCGGTCACGTACCTCGCGCGCGTCTCGCCGCGTCCCCGTGGGCCTCGCCGACGCCGTGTCCCTCGTTCGCCGTGGCCGTGACCCCCGCGAGCTTCTTTGCAGCCCTGTCCCGCTGAGCCTCGCTGCAGCCGTGTCCTCCCTCGGCCGTCCCCGCGACTGTGACCCCCCCCCGTGCCTTGTCGCAGCCACGTCCCCCGTCATCCCGCCGCGAGCGTGTCCTCACGCGGGCCTTGCTGCTGCCAGCTCCTCCGCACGCTGCGCCGCGGCCAGGTCCTGCGCTCGCACCACGGCGGCGGCGGCCCCTCTGGGCGTCGTCACCTCCACGTCTCGGCACATGCCTCGGCACAGCCGGGACGTCCTGGCTTCGCTCCTGCGGAGCCCGCGGGCAGCTCGGCTTTGAGGCTGGAGAGGAGTTTCTTGCCTCCTGCAAACCAGACAAGCTTTCCCAGGTCACCAAACCCTGGCGAGTTGGTGGTTCCTGGGGGACCCGGCCTGCTCCCTTCTCTCCTCCCCACTCGTCAAGTCAGGACGGCGATGCTGGAGATATTGGGGACTGCGGGACATTATTCAGCCCTAATCCTTTTGAATTAAGACCCAATCCAGCACTTAACTGGAGAGCCCCGGAGGGCAGCTGTGTACTAGAAAAGGCACATACCTTCCCAGTCTGTAGGCAGCTGCCTCCCCGAGTCAGCTCTTTTCTTGGGGTTATGAATATTGCCTTGACACAAGAAACAAACTGCACTTTCACGCCGGTAAGGCTGCACATGCACTGGGAGTTACGCCGGTGCGTGGAGCTCTCCCTTTTATCCTTACTCACACAAATGCGCTCTGAGCCGTATTGCTGCACTAACAAGGGATTGTACAGATCCCATAAAAGCCAGGAGGAGCTTGGAGTGGGTTTGCTTACTGTCCCCTGCGCCTAGATTCTCACTAGAAACAATGTCCCTGCGGGAGGCTGAGCGGAGCACAGTATTTATGCAACTGTGCGATGGTTTCAGTCTTTCCGATGCGCCCCAAGGAACAGATGGACCCTCTCAGACTCCCAGCAGAGGTGACAGAACGGGTAATCCTGCTGCTTAGTGGGGAAGATCTCAGCTACAAAGGAAAGAGATTCCAGGGGAAGCACGCTTTAAAGTCAGGCTATTGCTCTGTTAAAAATTCCTGTCTATTTATAAAAATATCTATAGCAATAAATCTGAGCGAGGGCAAAAGTTTGCACAGCCTACTTCTCATCCTACAAACAGGCTTTCATTAGCATTCGTGGCACAGGCGCAGCTCCTCCGAAACTTGGAAGGTCACCACAGAGCAGCCCGTCTTGCACAGTTGTGCCGGGAACCCTGCCACCCGTGGGACAGTTTATTTGTTCAACGGGGTGAAACGTGCGTGTGAATCTCGGCGTGGGGAGAACAGGAGGACCTGTGTGATAGGAACACTGGAAAATCGCTAGCAGGAAAGGGGCCTGGCCCTGAGCCCGGCCGGCGTGCATGGGACGGGGGGCTCGCTCCGGCTTTCAGCAGGCTCTGGATCAGCTTCAGCTCAGCATGGGAAAACTTTAAAAACCAAGTGTAAGCATCACCTCAGCTGAGTTTGACGGTGTATAAATATCCCATTCAGCATCCTAGATAATTCTTGCCCTGGGTTAAATAGGGAAACACTTAACAAGCAACGAGATTTTTCTATAGAAGGCTGTTGGCAGGGAGACGTGCGGCGGAGGGTTGGCTCACATCCCGCGCGAGCTTCTGACAAACAAACTGCGGTGCGTGGTGTTCAGGAGCGGGCGCCAAGAGCCGGGTTGGGAAGACATCCCTACTCTGGAAAGCACTTGGGTCTGCTCCTAATTTTAAGTGACTTTGGTGAAAGCAAAGTGTTGTGCTGTGCGTAAGCGTCTTGCTTTGCCTCCCCAGCGCATTTACTACCTGTCCCTGGAGTTCTACATGGGCCGCACTCTGCAGAACACCATGGTGAACCTGGGCCTGCAGAACGCTTGCGACGAAGCCATTTACCAGGTGAAGTCTTGGGGGTACGGGGGCCGCCCTGAGGAACTGGCCAAAACTTTTCTATGCGGAGGGCTGGGTAGCTTTATTTCTCGGGGCTTCCTCCTAAGGATGTGTTATTTTGACTAGACACAAGGCTTGGCTCTCTGTTAGTGTTTTTCATCCCCTAGAGAAGACCGGGGGGGGACCCTCGGGTTCCTTGAGAGTTGGAGTACGGTTTTCTCAAACCACCCTTTTCCTGTAGTGGCTGGGAAAATCCAGAATAGTAGCCAGAAAGCAACACCCAGTATCCCAAAAGACTAGGGAGTCCCAGGCTGCAAATAGCTTTCCATTACTAGGAGAGATGACGGCTCATCATGGGAGATGTAGTCTAATAGGGGAGGCTGGGCCAGAAGGGGAAAATGGAGCGCCAGAACGCCAAATTACAGTTCATACATGCAGGTACACAAGGCACCGCGGCAGCACTGCCAGAGAAAAGTGAATCACCGGGAAGGAAGAAAGTGTGGAAATCGTTTTCTTGAATTAAAATGTCATTGGATGAGTTCAAACTGGAAAAAACACAGCTGAGTACCACCAAGGCAATCACAAATGCGAGGCCACGGTTACGTAGGCTTGCAGCCACCTCTGCAGCAGGACAGTGACTTTTTTGACAGAATATGAGGTTTTGGGCTTTCTCACCCAAAAGCTTTATTTCCCCCCGTCCTCTTCCCTCCTGCCCCACTGGATTGATCCACATTACACTTTCTAGCAGAAGTTGGGCTCTGTCACTCTCTCAAAATGAGGTGCTATGATTGCTGATGAAACATCCTGGTGAGCGCTTTCCCTGCCCAGAGATGGGAAGGGATTTCCAGGGAGGGACCTGACATGTTTCCTCTCCACGGTATGGTGCCTCGGAGCGCACGCTGTTTTTTTTCAGGGAGGATCCTCACATCCCTTTGCAAGGCATTTTCCACATACTGATTTGGCCTGATGTGCGAACAGAGGCTTCTCTCACTGTAGCCTCCGACATGTGGAGCTCGTCATGGCCGGTGGCCAGCTGGGATGGGAGGTCTCATATCCAGCATGGCTCTGTCACTGAGAGAATTCACCTCGGTTTTTGTGAACCCGTCACATTGTGCGTGAGGCTTTCCCGGCTTGTGGTTGCAGACTGCTGAAGCCGTGGGAGAGCGGTTTGGGGAGCAGCCGTGGTGTCAGCCTGACTCCCTGCTGTCCCCCCTGGCACTGAGGTGAGATACTGCTGCCTTCCGAGACGCAGCATCTCTTGACTCCTGGAGTAGTCCTTGCTGCTGGCATGCTTAGCCTTCATCTGGCAGCAGCCCCCGGGCCAGAGAAAAAATAGCCCGGGAGGTGCAGCAGAGGAGACAACCACTTCCAGCCATGGATTCCGGCCAAAGAGCTCAGCGGCAGGATGCGGGAAGGCATGGAGTGTAATGGTGAACGCTGCAGTAACCAGCTGCCGGTGTGGTTGTGCCCTTCCTCAAGGACTGGGGGAGGGTGAGAGCAGAGCAGGGGGCACATGTAAGCCGGGCAGGACTCGGCGGTCCCGTGTGTGCCGACTTGGCCGTTCACCGTCCTGTCTCCAACGGCGAGTTTGGTGGAAGGGCCTCCTGGCATGAGGGGCTGCCAGGAGATGAGCGTATTGTTCGAGATCTCTAAGGAAGCCTAGTTCATGGGAAAACGACTTTTGATGATGGGCTAAATTGTTTTCCAATTAATTGGGCTGCCCGGGGACCAGAGGCTGGTAAGATGCTTTGTGGGGAGGGAGGGTGGGGGGATGCAGAGACCCCTGTGTGTTAAATTTCCCGTGGTGTGGGTTGTTTTTGGTGTTTGCCCTCCTTGGAGAGCAGCCCCAGGACATGGGCTTCAGGTGGTGACGTGTTCTGCCGTGGCTCTTTCCCCGATAGCTGGGTTTGGACTTGGAGGAGCTGGAAGAAATCGAAGAAGATGCTGGGCTGGGAAACGGAGGCCTGGGCCGTTTGGCAGGTAAGACAGGGAGAGGGGAGCCCCCTCCTCGTGCAGGGTGCACGGGGACCGAGGGTGGCCTGGCTGGAGGCTGTCATGCCCTCGCTGCCGGCGCTGCGTCAGAAAACACGCAGACCTCAGCCTGCATCCACCCCGCAGCCCTTCAGCAGCGTGGTACCCTCCTGCCTGCTCTTGGCTGGCCAGAAACGAGCCCCGTCCCCGGTGAGAGCATCCAGGAGATGTAGCTGTGTAGTCTGCAGCACAGCAGGCAGGGCTGCGGCTGAAAGAGGCTGTCTGGAGCCTTTTTCCTCACCTCCCTGTGAAATCTCTCACTTTTCAGAGGCACCCAAGCAGCTCTCATGTAGGCAGATTGTTGGCTGCTATTTTAGTCTGCCTGTCCCACAGGACTGCTGGAGATGAGAGCTCCCCAATGCAGAGGAAATGCTGGGGCTGGTCTTTGCCAGAGCTGCCACGGACTGAGGGCTGGAAGGGTTTGCTCCGAAAGCAATAATAGCAAAGTAGCTGGTGGAGCAGTGAGTTGGGGTCAGAAACCCTGCTTCACCAGGCAGGCAAGCTTAGAGCAAGGCGTGGGCACCTCGGGCAAGTTTAGAAGAGCTCTCACTGCAACAAGGCTGGATTTAGGTTTTTGGTGACCTGGCCTCGTCACCAACAACCTTGCAGTGTTCATCGTGGCTCGGCAGGACATCCGTGGGGTCCTGCCGCAGGCTGTCCCCTTCTGTCCCTTTTGCATGCAGATTTTCTCGAGTAGTAAATGTTTCCAGCGGCATTGGTTGTGGCAGCCCCTCACCCCCGTGCACATCATGCCGTAGCAGATGCAGCAAGTGAGGGGTGAGTTTCCTTGCAGCGTGACCACGCTCTGCTCTTCCAGCTTGCTTCTTGGACTCCATGGCCACTCTGGGGCTGGCGGCATACGGTTACGGCATCCGCTACGAGTTCGGTATCTTCAATCAGAAAATTGTCGACGGCTGGCAGGTACGTTGGCGAACTCAAGTCACCCTTTCTCCTTCTGTTTCGTGCCTGTGGACAAAGCCTGGCCACACAAATGGCACTGTGGTTCCTTGAGCTGTTCATAAACTGGGCGTTTGAGCCCATCACCGGGTGCCAAATGGGCTGTCGCTTCCCACTGCTTGTGCTGACCTTGGGATCTCTGATGGCCTGAGCAAAGAGGAGCGATGAGGGTGGTGGGGTGCCTGTGCCACAGGCGCTTACCGAGGGACACGTGCAAGCTCATCCACGCCAGTCACCAACCCGGCAAGCTGGTGTTGGAGCTGAGCCCACGGGGCATGGCTGGGACTGGAGTTTTCCTTGGCTGGGGCTCCGTGGCACAGCTGCAACAACCCGAGAGTCCCATCCAGCCCAGCAGTGAGTGGGCAAGGAGTCAGGCTAAGGATGGAGATGTAGCTAAACACCTCATGAAGGTGTCTGGTGGAGGATGAATTTGACTATGATGGAAGAGGAGCAAGTGCCTGGGGTGCCGCTGCTCCTGTGGGTTCCCTGGGAGACTGGCAGCGGGGGCTTAAACAGGGACTCTCCTCTAGCATTAGTGATCATAATATTTTGCAAGTGAAAATAGGCTAAAAAAACTGCCCCAGCTGGCAGTTTTCCCTAGTGTATGTCTGGAAATGGTTTCCATTAGGAGATTTGCCTTGCTTCTAAACATAAAGGACCTTTTTTCCCCGTAAAATAGCTCTCCATAAGTCAGGGAGGGTGAGAGGTTTGAGGGTTGTTTTTTTCCTCCTTCCCCACAAAGAAGCTGCAATGCTAGGCCCTATAAATGGTGAAAACAGGGACAAAAGCATCCACTGTAATTGGCTTAATGTTACTTAAAAAAGAACAGGGGTGGTGGCGATGCTGGGTTGTGGCTTAGACCTGCCCCCCACCTGGCAGAGAAATGCCGGCAGGCACAGAGCATCTCTCCAAGTGCCTCAGGCCCTCTGGTTTCTGGTCCACATCAGCCATGGTGGCTCTGCTGAATTCACTTCACTCCCATTTGTGCTGTTATGAGCAGGGAGGAGAAATCCTCTCTGGCAGAGGGCAGAGCAGTTAGCAAGACCTGGGTTACAGGGGGTGGTTTGTGGCCAGGAACAGCACCGATGGCCTTCTAGGGAACCCCATCCCACATATTCCCACTATCACGGTCAATCTGGATGTAAAAGCCTCGAGACAGACTGAGTGCAGCAATCTGTGCTGTTTGGGTGGTTTAAACCTGTACAGCTCTGCAAAGCCCATAGAGCCTGATTTATTTATGCCAGCTGGGATGTAGTCATCCATGTTTCAAAAAGCACAGCTGTCCTCTAGAGGCCTCTGCATATCCATTTTTAAAGCCAGCTTACTAAAGCTTTGTTTTTAAACTGGCCTCCCTTCGGAGAGCCTAGTTTAGCCTTCACTTGGAGACACAAGCCATCACTTGAACCTTGTTTGCTTCTTGCAGGTGGAGGAGGCCGATGACTGGCTACGCTACGGCAATCCCTGGGAGAAAGCTCGCCCAGAGTACATGCTCCCTGTGCACTTCTACGGCCGCGTGGATCACACTCCTGAGGGTGTGAAGTGGATCGACACTCAGGTACCAACGTCTTCCTCGGTGCTGGGCTGGGGGAGTAGGGGCCAGGGTAGCGTGGAGGGGGGAGAATCTGTCCCTGGGCTGCCTGAGGTGGTCAGACCTTGCTTCTCTCCCAGTCTGGCAAAACTCTCTGCTACCCTTGCAATTACAAAGGTGACTTTGTGGCTACAGCTGCAGCACGATTTGAGGAAGAAGAAGGATGATATTCAGTCATAGGTGTAACTGCAGGTCAGTTGGAGCCTCCTCCTCTACCGGTCTCCAGGGTGAAGCATGGATTTATGTCGGAGGAGGACTGTATCCCTGGCAGCTGTGCTAGCCTCCTTCCACACTGCTCCTGGCTACCACTCGCTCAAACCCAGTGGTTTTGCAGGTGGTTCTGGCACTGCTGCTGTGGGTGGAGATTCATCTCGTGGGGTGGCCATGGAGCAATTCCGTGGGTGTTTAACTCCTGTAATCAGAGCAAGTTCCTCTTTCCCAGGCTCGCCTGATGGGTAGAGTGCTGTCAGGGAAGGCTGGAGGCATGGTTTCAAGTCTCCGGTCTGCCTGGAGGCCTTGTTTTGTGGCATTGTGGAGAGCAAACGCTTCTTCAGCCTCCCACAGTTGGGGAGGGAACGCTGTGCTTCGGGAGCATGTGCCTGCTCAGAGCACAGGCTGCTGTGTCGTAAATGCATTCCAGTCTTACCGCTGAGGAAGGCAAGCTTTAAAGAGGCACAGATTTATTAAGAGGATTGAAGATGTTTCAGCCTCTCCTGTCTAAGCAGTGCCCGGGATGGAGGAAGGACTATGAATTTCTCTGGGATTCAGGGACATGACCTAGCCTTGTTCCCATAATGTTCAAGGGTCTCTCACCCTGACGAGCCAGCTCTACCCATCCGAGGAGTGCACAGTCATAAAGCCCAGCCTTTCTCTTCAGCGCCAAGAGCTGAAGCTCTGTTGCAGATCTGCCTGGGCCTGCTCAGAGAAACAAACCAGGTCCTTTTCCAGCGTCCCTGGTTGTCAAAGGCTGTACAGTGACATAGGCCATTCCCAGGACACAGACAGTGCAGGGGTTCAACACCACAGCCTCGTGAACAGCATGGAGGCACCATGCCAGAGCTCTCTGGGGAAGCAGATATCCGCTTGGGGACCGAGTGCCGTTGCCTTTCGATGTGCTCCTCTTCTGACCCCGGCGGTAGTCTGGGGTTTCAGGGATCCCAAGCAGTGCAGTGGAAACGCTGCTTCCTACAAGGAGGTGAATTTTCAGATAGTGCCAATTAGGGAACAAGTTGGAAAGGCTCAAAAAAAAAGCCAAAGACACAGTCTCCAAATATAGCATCACTCTGTTCATGTGATGTGTGCCCCAGTCGCGTGGCTCAGGCAGGGCAGGCTTTCTGCCTGCTTCCATGTTCGGAGCTGGTAATAGCAGCTTTGAGAGCCTGAGCTCTTGCTGATTCTCCCCAGAGGGGAGGTGTTGCTGACGCCAGCACCAAGAGGCTGTTCAGGGCCAACAAGCCGATCTGCCTGGGTTTTCCCTGCCCTGTGAGCACAGCTCCTTCAGTTCTCTGCTGCCTCTCACATCTTTGTTTGGGGACAGCCTCTGGCTGCTGGACTGTCGTGCCAGTACACACCGACTTGTTCAGGAGGGTGCTGGCTCTTTTTTGCCAGTGTCAGAGAGGCAGCCCAGGCTCTGTGCTGCAGGATCAGGGCATTGCTCTGCAAGCACCGTTCGGCTCTGCTGGCATCAGCCCTCAGTGTCTTTGTTCCAGGCTGAGGTCAGGGTGCCTTGCCTTGCTGCTCAGCAGGTCTGGAGGCATGCAGGTGTTGGCACAACAGTGAGCTGGAGCGCAGAAGCTTGGAAGCATACCCATGCCTTGCCTGGCTAGTGTAATCCGAACTGGGAGTCCCGGTGTTACTCCCTGTAGTCACGTGTGAAGCATCCTGATGCTTAAGCATCATCCGTAGACTGCACTAATAGTTTCACACTCGTGTTCAGTTTGGATGCTGGAGATCACAGTGGATTTACCCAGGCAGGTTCAACAAACCTTGACTGTTGGGTGAATTGCTGTGGGAATGGTGCTGCGGTGGTAGGGTTTGGTGCTGGCAGGCTGCGGAAGGCTAACGGGCAGGATTCAGGCTGCGGAGTTTATCCCAGATGGAAACACAAAGGTTGTCCCAGCTGCCCTGGCCCCAGCCCAGCACAGACAGAATCGCAGTGGCCAGCTGAGGATTCTTGCCGTGCTCTGGTGAATAACTAATAGGCACACCAGTTGGTATAGGAAGGTCAGCAAGTTGTTTGCAACTCTCTTTTACATTTCATTGATGGGCTTGTAACTCCCAGTTCGTCAGTAAAGCTCCAAACAGCTCTGCTTCTCCTATGAACACTTTGCCAGTGGGTGCTGGCAGTGCCTGTGATAGCAGGGAATTCTGTGAAGCTCAGCAGGTGTGTTTTAGTAAGATGAGATTCTTGCCACAGCCAGGAGTTGTCTGTGTCCTCTGGATTCTTCCTGCAGACGTTTCAGCCGCTTTCCCACCTTCTCTAAGGCCATCGTGCTGCTAATCAGAGGGGAATACTGTCCTTTTGCAGGTTGTCCTTGCTATGCCTTACGACACGCCAGTGCCAGGATACAAGAACAACACTGTAAACACCATGAGGCTGTGGTCTGCAAAAGCACCCAATGACTTCAACCTCCAAGAGTGTAAGTGCTATCCCTCCGCTGCCTCTCTTCTGGCCAGGCTGGGACATGGTTGTTCCTGTGTGCATAGCACCTGGCACAGCACTCCCCACCTGGTCTGCTTTATCCATATCTCCTGGCTACCTCCAAACACAGCGCTGTGTGCGCATCCATGGATCAGACTCCCTCCAACCGCTTCCAGAGCCCTCAAGCACCAGGACACCCATCCGTCCTCCTTCCATACCCATCACGCTTCTCATGCTCTCAAAACCTGCCCTGTACCTTCCCCAAGTGATAGACCACCTGCCACTGCGTTCCCCACATCACCAAATGAGCTGCAAACCCACGCTTGCCGTGGAGGGTCGTTTCTGTGCAGCATCATCCCTTAGCGCTGAAGGAGAAGAGCAGCACAGCCCACCTTACTGTTGGTTTCCTTTGGGTCTACATGTGACCTCTCTGCTGCGTTTTTCCAGGCTCCAATCGTAGTGCTGAAGAAGAGCAGATACACGGCAACTAACATACCAAATGTCAGTGAGGGGCTGTTACAGAAGGGGAAGGTTTTAGACTAGACTGCTTTGATTTATTCTTCCATTCTGGCAAGCGCAGAGATGTGTGTGTCAAAGCAGCCCTGCCAGGAGAACTTGTGTGGGACAAGGGGTGATGGCTCTCAAGTCCTCATAATTGTGCACTGGCAGCTGCGAGCTGGGTTTCAGGAGAGCCTTTTGTACCCTTTAGGAGTTGAGCGTGATTGTGGTCTTTGTGCTTCTTTGCCCTGCCCCATTTCTCCTTCATCCTTAAGCAAGATGGCTGGTCACTCGCTTCCTTTTTTTTGCCTTCTCTGGCTGCCGTCTGTCTTCAGTTTCTGTCTGTCCTTCCTGATACGCGTGCCTTGAGAAACTGCATGGAGATGTGCCTTTCTCTTATCCCATCTCCTCCTGTCTCTCTGGTGCCTTTCACACATGTACATTCCCATTCATATTTCATTAATACCAGCCTGAATGTTCCTGTTACAAATTGCTCTATGAGAAAAGAAGGAAAAGTGCAGTATCAGGGACCTACCTGAACCTCTACAGCTGCTGCAGTGCTGTGTGTATTTCTCTCTTGCTGCAGTCAACGTGGGTGACTACATTGAGGCGGTGTTGGACAGAAACCTGGCAGAAAACATATCCAGAGTCCTGTACCCAAATGACAATGTGAGTGACTCTCTTGCCTCTCTTGCCTGCTGCTCTGGATCATCCTCCCTGTAGTTGTATTGCCTTGTTTGCAAGCACTGGAAGGTCATGGCCACCTGATATTTATTGTTCTGGTTTAAGGATTTTTAATACAATAGGTTGGCCCCGTAATTCTCAGTGAACAGACACAGCTCTGCTGGCTCCAGAGGGTCTCTGCTGGCTGATGGCAGCTGAGTCTGGCCTATATTGTGTAGCTGCTCTGTCCCTTGCTGCAAGGAGGGGAAGACATATTACTCCTTCAAATTCAAGGCAATTTACATGGCTTACCCTTTGCAAAAGTAAGTTGTCATTTCAGAGGCGGCCATGAGGGGGGGACTCGTTTCCATCCCCAGTTCAAGGGATTTCTCGCTGCAGGGACTGTCCCAGGCCATGCACTCACTGGGCACTGGATCCAGAAGGGAAGAGCCCTCGCTATCTAGTCATGGGTTAGGATCTGTGCTGGAAAAGCTCATCTCCTGCACTTTACCTGCACCCTCTCATTGCTGCTGGCTTTTAAAAAATAGTGTGAAGTGTAGTGTGCCTGGGAGGCAGCTGGTATGTCCAGAGACACGGGCTCCTGGCTATTGCAGGGAGTCCAAAATCCAAGGGTCTTGCAGTGAGGGAGGGAGCTGCGCTTGCTCTGTAGGACTAGCATGGATGTGGCAGGTTCTGGTGCTCTCTGGAGGCAGCTGTTTGGGATGCCGAGCCCCTTGTCAGTCCCTACAGCTGCTGCCCCATCAGAGGCAATGTGAGAAACATCCACATTTGCCCTGATGAGGTGCTGAACCTGTGAGGCCTGTTGGGAAGCCCATCAGAGTGGGTAGGAGCATCTCCAGGGGTTCGGCTGCCAACTGGGGATGGCAACTGCAGCACTGATGGCTGTGGTCCCCCCACTTGCAGTTCTTTGAAGGCAAGGAGCTGCGACTGAAACAGGAGTACTTCGTGGTGGCTGCTACCCTCCAAGACATCATCCGCCGTTTTAAGTCCTCCAAATTTGGCTGTCGAGACCCTGTGAGAACATGCTTTGAAACCTTCCCAGATAAGGTGAGTTTGTGGGCAGAGAGGGTCCGGGGGTGTTTTAGCTAGACCTGCCTATCATGAGGGAGAGCAGGATGCTCAGGACCAAGTGGGGGCATGTATACAAAGACCCTGGCAGTTTGGGTTGGAAAACAGGTGATCTCTGGGCTGTTTTCCCAGGGGAAAATTTGCAATTTGGAGCAAAACTTGCAAAGGTTGAATAGCTCCGTTCCTGGGAGATCGCTCTGTTTCTGGGGTGTGTGCCATGAGAAGAGGCTTGGGCATGACCCTCACCCCAACCCCACGCGTGCAGGACACTGTCACAGTCCTATCCCTGCCAGATCTGAGCCCAGCGAGTCTCTGTTGCAGGTGGCTATTCAGCTAAATGACACCCACCCTGCCCTGTCCATCCCAGAGCTTATGCGGATCCTGGTGGATGTGGAGAAAGTGGATTGGGACAAGGTAAGCAGAGCTAGGAGGTCCGTGCCAAAAGTTGCAGTGGAAAGAGCTGCTGTCCTGTCCTCATACGGAGTCTCCTTTCCCCTCCTGGCCTGGGCACGCATGCATTAACCTGCTGTCCGTAACGCAGGCCTGGGAGATCACGAAACAGACCTGCGCCTACACCAACCACACCGTGCTGCCTGAAGCCCTGGAGCGCTGGCCGGTCTCCATGTTTGAAAAGCTGCTGCCACGTCACCTAGAGATCATTTACGCCCTCAACCAGATGCATCTGGATGTAAGGGACTGGGCCGGTCACAGGCTGTGGGAACGCTGGGGGTCTTCATCTGGTCGCTTTTAGGATGGGAATGTTCCTAGGTCCTATGGCTGGGTTGCTAATGTCCCTTTTTGTGCCTGCAGCGGGTGGCAGCTCTCTACCCAGGGGACATTGACCGTCTCCGGAGGATGTCGGTGATCGAGGAAGGAGACTGCAAACGTATTAACATGGCTCATCTCTGTGTGATTGGCTCCCACGCGGTCAATGGCGTGGCCCGCATCCACTCTGACATTGTGAAGAACTCGGTGTGAGTTGGGGGACACCCAAGGCACGCTCCCTCTTCACTCACTGGGCTTTGCCTGCAAGCATGGGGGGGCTAACTGGAGCCATCAGGTGTCGAGGTCTGCTTTGGTTGCCCTGCTGGGCATGGCAGGTTGGGGAGACTGTCTTATTTGCCTGTGTGCAAGGTCTAACTCACGTCCCTTTGGAGCTGGTGAAACCCTCGGCGTTATGGCCGAGGAAGGGGGTGAGAACTGGCATAGAGAGTTCACCCTTGTTCCAGGGAGATCCGCAGTGACTGCCCCGAGTCAGGAGCACGTGCGGTGGGGGCCCAGCTGAAGCTCTGGGTGGTGGTGGGTGGTTCAGATCTCTCTGGTGTTCCAGGTTCAAGGATTTCTATGAGCTGGAGCCGGAGAAGTTTCAGAACAAGACAAACGGGATCACACCGAGGCGCTGGCTCCTGCTGTGCAACCCAGGGCTGGCTGATGTTATTGCTGAGGTGAGCCGCAAGCTGTCCCGAAGTGAGGGGCTGAGCGTGATCCGTTTGCTTCTGATCACCTCTTCGTGTGCTCTGATCAGAGCTGGGGCTCACGTCTGGTGGGTGAGAGTGAGGACAGCCTGGAAGCACGCCTGTTGCACGTGTAGGTGTGAGACTGGCTGGGCTTTAAAGTCGGTGATGAAGAGTTGGCCAAAAACGTTGCAGAAATTTGGATCTGGTTCCCTGCCCTCGCAGTGGCTATACACAACCTGGCAGGCAGTACCGTGGTGTGTGAAATGGGGTGTCTGCAAAAGCATTCAGCTTCACGGGCACAAAGGAACTCCAGCCCCAGTTCTATCTCCGGTGTTTACCAGGCTCTTTAGCACAGGGTTTTTTGCTTCACACTGTGACATGATAGCTGAATAACGTCCTGCAATTCAATGTATCTTTGTGTCCTGCCCATCAGTTTCTCCAGGTGCCAGGAGGCCCTGGTACATGTGCACACATCCTCCCTCTAAAGCTCCTTGAGGGAGGGGGACTTGTTTGGGTTTTTGCAAGTGCCCTGTTTCCCCTGTACCTTTGGGCTCCCTGACGATACGGAGAAGTAAGCTCGCTATAAGAAACTGTGCCCCTTTTCCCAGCCAGAGTGCCTCTTCCAATTCCCAACGGGACTGTGGCATCTCTGTTGGGAAAGTGCAGGTGTGGATTGGGTGAGGTGTCTCACGGGTGGGACATCCCTCTCTTGGCTTGTTCTTTTAGAAAATCGGGGAAGGGTTTATCACAGATCTGAGCCAGCTGAAGAAGCTACTGGATTTCATCAATAATGAGACTTTTATCAGGGATGTGGCGAAAGTCAAACAGGTAATGTGCACTGGAGGCGGGGTGGGAGGAAGGCACCATGCTCCCAGGAACATCCCAGCAGCAAACACTCACTTCTGACAGAAGGCCTGGGAACCCATGCCTGTTCCTCATCAGATTTTCTTGCCAGGAAAACAAACTGAAGTTTGCAGCCTACTTGGAGGAGCAGTACAAGGTCAAGATCAACCCTTCGTCCATGTTCGATGTTCAGGTCAAGCGAATCCATGAGTACAAGCGGCAACTGCTGAACTGCCTGCATGCTATCACTCTATACAACCGTAAGTCCTGCCTGGGCTGGTGGACAAGGGGTGTCCCCCCAGGCACTCGCTGCCAGGGTTCCCATGTAAAAGTATGCCAGTTAGTGGCCAAGGACTCCTGAGCCTAGCTCTGCCCTCCTCTCATGAAGGGCTTCTCTCCAGGAGGGAAGACAGAGTGGCTGAAGGGCCGTACAGAGCTCTGAGGAAAAGCTCACAGCCCACGTCTCCAGCCCACCTGGGTCCCAGGGCCCAGGTAACCCCCACACCTGTACTGCAGGTGTTAGGACTGACCTGGTGCAAGTTGAACCCCCACTCCCCGGCATATGCTTTGGGCCCCTGCCCATTCCCAAAGGGAGGCAAATCATTGGAGCTCTGCATCATGCTGGCTTGAGTCATTGCCTGAGGACTCTGCAGCCCATTTTTGCCCAGCACAGCTCTGGTGGATGTCTCATTGAGCTTTGGGGTCCTGCAAGTTTGTTGGGTCCACGTGACATGGGCTGGGATCCCAGCCCACCTCTGATGAACGGAATTAACTCTGTCCAGTTTATCTTCACTTTGGTTGTGTTATGCCCTGCTCTTTCAGGCATCAGACGCGATCCATCCAAATCCTTTGTGCCCAGGACTATTATGATCGGAGGAAAGGTAATGTGCATCCCAGACTCGGTGCGTGCATGGCTCAGTGGGGATGTGGGGAAGGTGCTGTCCCCTTTCTGTGGCTTTGCTGGGCCCGCTGTAGGTTAGCCAGCATGTATCTGCTGGTGGGCTCTTCAGGAAACACCTTTATGGACTAATCAGATTGAACGAGGCCCCATCACTCTTTGCTTGTGGCTCAGGACTTCACCTCCCACTAGGGTGCTTTTGCTGATCCATGTGAACAGCAGAGGTGAGGCCCAGATTCTCCCCGTGGTGAGGACCCGCACTGGCACCTCTCATGCTCTCCCTTCCTTAAAAGCCTTCACTATTTCTGGGCTGCTCTTTTTCAGGCGGCCCCTGGCTACCACATGGCCAAGATGATCATCAAACTCATCACATCCATCGGTGAGGTCATCAACAACGATCCCTATGTGGGGGACAGGCTCAAGGTCATCTTCCTGGAGAACTACCGGGTATCCTTGGCCGAGAAGGGTACGTCTGGTCTTGTATAAGCACACGTCAGGAGCTGGGCACGTCCCAGCTGAGCCCAGAAACTGGCTGGCCTGAGAAGCTGTCATGGCAGGTCACCTGGCTCTCCCTTAGGAAGGACCTGAGGGCTCCACACAGGGTGGGAAGCCAGCTTCATGCAGGAGTGATAGCAACGGCATGGGGTCATGGCAGGGCTAAGCCTGGCTCTGGCCCCAGAGCCATGCTGTTTGGGCTGAGGTAGAGGTCAGCAGGCCACTAGCAGATGTCCCGGGCTTGTTTTGGTGTCCTGGACCCAGGTCATGGGCACCTGCAGCGTGCCAAGGATTAACTCCTACCTCTCTTGCACCCGACAGTGATCCCAGCAGCGGATCTCTCCCAGCAGATCTCCACAGCTGGCACAGAGGCCTCGGGTACCGGCAACATGAAGTTCATGGTGAACGGGGCCCTCACCATTGGTACCATGGATGGGGCCAATGTGGAGATGGCGGAGGAGGCAGGCGAAGAAAACCTCTTCATCTTTGGCATGCGGGTGGAGGACGTGGAGGCCCTGGATCGCCAAGGGTTGGTGCTGGGGAGAGCCCCATACGTGCCAGGGCTTGTCAGATGGGGATACAGGTCCCAGCTCTAGCGGGGAGAGAGATGTAATCTCTGGGAGGGACACTCTCCTCCCTGGGCAGTTCTGGAGCAGGAAAAAGCAGGGGGCTGGAGGCAGCCTTCACCCTGGGCTGGTCAGTGCATGGTCCATCAAGGACGCAGCTCACCCTGAGCACAACGGCCGAGAACAGGACGGGAGCCTGGGCACAAAGTGATTCAGGCACCGCGACAAGTCTCGGAGCCGCTAGCAGGGTGCTCTGATGGACACAGCCCCAGGAAAAAGGCCCCTCAGGAGCCATAAAACATCCTTGCCAGGAGCCAGCACCCTTGCCTGCCCTCCCTGCCCCAGACGTGTCAGGTCCTGCGCTCTGGGTGCTGGGCCCCAGGGGAGAGCATCAGGCCCTACAGCCCGTCTCTGCTGGGCGCAGGTATAACGCACGGGAGTACTACGAGCGTCTGCCAGACCTGCGACAGGCTGTCGACCAGATCAGCAGCGGGTTTTTCTCCCCTCGAGACCCCGGTTGCTTCAGGGATGTTGTGAATATGCTCATGCACCACGACAGGTAAGTCCTGGCAAGCATCACCTTTGGTGGGCTGCTCTCAGCCTGCCCGCGACCCTTTCCCAGCTGGCCCTATCCTGCCAGGCTGGGACCCTACAGCAAGCAAACCCTAACCTTACTCTGCTTTGGGTTTCAGGTTCAAGGTGTTTGCTGACTACGAGGCTTACATTAAATGCCAAGGTCAAGTGGACCAGCTGTTCATGGTAAGAGCTGCCCGCTACCGAGGGGGAGGGACAGGGTCTTCGGCCACGGTGGTGCAGTGGGAAGACATGGGAGAAGCCGAGTGTGCTCCCGTGGAGTCCTTCTTACAGATACCACGTGGCTTGGGCACGGGGTCAGGGCGACGCAGGTTTTGCCGCTTCGGCAGCCCCACGCCGCAGCATTTAAACCAGCCAAGTGTGCTCTGCAAGGCTGCAAGCTGGGACAGAGCCAGGTGAGGGACTGACTGCTGATATTGCCTCTCCTCTTCCCAGGACCCCCGGGAGTGGACTAAGAAAGTCATCAGGAACATTGCATGCTCGGGCAAGTTCTCCAGTGATAGGACCATCACAGAGTATGCCCGGGAGATCTGGGGTGTGGAGCCATCTGCCACAAAAATCCCCCCACCCAACCTCCCCCGGGATTGATGCAAGCACAGAGGGAAGGAAGGAGGGATGCGCTCCCAGCCCAGGAGGCCTCACCTGAATTTCACCACCAGTCTCAGATGGGCTCAGCTCTGCAGAAACAAGGCTTTTCCCTCAGCGGGGTAGAAGGATGCTCTGAGGAAGAGCCCTGACTGAGGAAGAGGAGCTGGGGGAGAGGAGAAAGGACCCCGTTTGTACCCATGTATCCAGCCTGCATGTGCTGCATAGTGCTTTTAGTGAGATGACCACAGAGAAGTCTTCCACAGCTGTGCTCCATGCTTAACAAGGGCTTTCCAACTAAATCCTCCCCTCTCCCCCTGCATGCAGCCTGGCCTGGCCTCCTTGACCCTGCCCCACAAGCAGGTTTAGCCAAAACAGAGCGTGTCTTGCATCCTCCTCCAGTGGGTCTGCCAGCCCCAAAGCTAGGGGAGGGAGAGGCCACTGCCTGCCCCTCCAGTTACCCCCTTCCCAAATAACACCCAGAGAAGGTGGGACTGGCTGTTAAAGCAGCTGGCACCCTGCTGGCACCAATGTCAAATGCCGTGTGCCCCAAGGAGAAGGAGAGAGGGCCTGGGATCAGCGACTTCCTTGCCACAGAGCTTGCCGTAGCCTCCTCCCGCACCTCTTTACTTAACTAAAAGCCCAGTAACCAAGTCACTCCAGGGATTTTTAGCCTCCGTGTCTGCATAGAGAGGGTTGTACCTGCCACTGCCAGCTGGGTGGCTGACCCTGCTGGGCCCACAGGCAGTCTCCTGGCTCTCCAGGCACAGCTGTATGCTGGGTGCTACCCAGGCCATGAACACGTATAGCATCTCTTGCATCTCTTCGCAGCTGGGTCACGCTGCTCCATGTGTCTCTCCTGGCGCTGGGGTCAGAGTTTAACACCTGTAGTGCTGTGTAGTGCACCAGTACTCCCTTGTGTGACACCAACTCATTAAAACAACCAGAACACCTGCTGGGTTGACTTGGGGCTGACTTGTGACTTACTCCATGCCTGTGGGTTCAGGTTGCAACAAGTTCAGGCCATGATGCTTGAAGCCATGCTGGTGTTCCCCAGCTGTGGCTTCATGGGAGGGTCCCCTGCAGCTGGCATGATGCTGGGGTGCTGGCACCACCATGGGGGAGACATGCCGCCAGCAGAAAGGTCAGTCTTGCCAGCACAGAGAGTGTACAGGAGGGAGCTGGTCCCAGAGGCTGCACTGGGCTAGCTAGGGCCAAAGCCATTTACCTGCACCTCTGGGGTGTTGACTGTATGCACTTGGGTGGGGGTTACAGTGTTGGGTTTTGCCCAGTAAATGGCACACAGGGCTCCTGTGCTAGAAATGCCATGGGCAGTTCCAACTTCCCCCATCCCCAGTGGGAAAGCAGAGACTCGGCTGCAGCCGGAGTACAGGCACAGACCCACTGGGCTCCAGCAGAGCTGCTCACCCAGAGCTGGCAGCAGCCACAAAGACTTGCCCAGTCCCAGCTGCAAGCTCATCGCCCATGCACAACCCTACTGCAGCCCTGCCGCAGACCCAGCTGACCTGCCCAACTGGGGGAAAAGTCCCAAAAACTGCCAGGTAAAACGGGTGAAGCTGAAGTGATCAGCAGTCAATGCCTTTATTAAAACTACACCACTTTTAGATAAACATTTCAGTTTAAATTTCCAAGCATATCACTGGCCTACTAACGGGAATGATGGTGCTGGGATCACCAACACCAGCAGTTCACATGCTGGACCCTCAGCTCTGTCACACGGGAGAAAGGCAGCCAGCCAGCCTCTGGCTCAGGCTGTGCTTTGCCCCAAGCCAGCTGCCAGCAGCGTTAGCTGGAATGTGCACATCACTCTCCAGAGCCAAGTAAGTGTTCCTCTTCTGTCAGTGCAATAAATACAAGTGCATCAAACATAATTTAAGTGGCACAGTTAGCTTATGAGTATCATGGGTCAGAAACCTCAGGGACAACCACGCTATGGCAGAAGAATCTCAGTACAAGAACAAGCTACTGTCTGCTTTGCAACTAGTATGAGCCTGCAGATATAACTTGGATGCATGCTGAGCAGTTTATACTATGCTGTACACCCCTGAACAGACCCTTCAGGCAGCACAATTCACTCTGAGCACTAGTGACTAAACCTACAGCACCTGGTATTCTCTATATAGATTGATGGGGGGCAGGGCCAGGTCCCCAGCCAGACACTCAGAGTCAGCACATGACCCTCTTTTGTCTCAGTGCAGAGCTCATCAGTGGCATAAACCAGCCCCTGTTCTAGCCCCAAGCAGGGCAAGGGCATCCCCAGAGCCTCTCCCCACAGGAGAGGCTCATTCCCACTTCTGCCTCCTGGACAACATGCTCCAACCATGGCTGTGAGATGGGCTGAGAAGTGCTACTGGAAGTGCCTGGGAAGCCCAGAAAGGAGGTGGAGGGAGAGATGGGGAGGGACACCCCAGACTGTTATTTTTGCATCAAGAACTGCATACCACTGCCTGCTTTAACTACATAGGAACAGTATAGCCACCAGGAACAGGAAAACCTGACCTAAGGAGTTAAAAGGTAGTTGAGGAAAAAACCCTGCCCTTCCCACCCAAAGGAAGCACATGTCTGTCCGGGTGTGTACAGGGAGAATGGAAGACATCCATTCCCACATCCTGGGCCCACATTGTTCATGGAAGGGGGAGATCAAGCCAAAAAGTAATCTCACAGTTTCCAGCTTAAACTCCCAAGTTTGCAATTTATCTGCTTAAGTCACTTCAGTCCTAATAGGAAGTGCATGTGTAGAAGGGGAGGAGCTCCACAGAGGATAGCAGGGATGGGAGCAGAAATGATGTTGAGAAGGAAAAGGGTACAGAAAAGATAAAAGGGCACTGACCTTTTCCATTAAATAGATGTTTGAAAAGGAAGAACAAAAAAAATCTTTCATTTTATTTCCAAATGTGTGCAATTAGCCCAACACTTGCAACACATTGTGACTGAAGAGCTAAATAAAAATATCTCTCACCACCTGGACCTTCTGTGTGTTTGTAATTACAGCCACTTAGTGAAAAGGAAAGGCAAAACATGTATTTCCTAGAAAGAGAACACCTCAAACTCAAGCAAGACAACTGTGGTATGGAGACACGGCAAAAGCCATTCACCTACAAATGAGTCTCTATGTGATCCAAAAACAGCAGCAGTGTTTAAAAGTGAAAGAAACACCCTTGGTCATGACACACGTGTCCTAGGAATGTCTGTCCTCAGTGGTACCACGCTGGATTGGCCAGGCTTTGTTGTGCTTACATTTTTCACGGTTTGGTACTGGCTCCTGGGCTGTTATCACCCCTCCATCCATGTCAAAAAAGAAGCCAACAACTTCTTTCTTCTACCATCGCAGATGCTGATGCCAGGAGCTGGAGTTGCCAAGGGTACACATCAGGACCGGAGTGGGAATCCCTGACCTCCTCTAGTGCCAGGGATGGAAGAATGGCAGATTGACCCACAGGGAGCAGGGACGAAAAGGAGAGAGAGAGGAAGGAAAGAAAGGAAAACCTCTGTGCTGCCGAGCAGCCAGTCTTCAGTGATGATGCTCATGTTCAGATTTTCCCAGGAATTCCCTAGGAAAGGAAAGGACACAGCAGTGACACTCAGCTCTCCTACACTCTGGTGCATGCTGCAGCCTGCAGGTCTTCCCATTCCCCTGGCAAATACTAGGGCTTAAGCGCTTGCAGCTACAGTGAACAGCACTCACCCATCAGTGGCTCCCACTAGAAGAGGCAAGGAGAAGTAGCTGCTTCACAAACAACTCCTCCAGAGCATCCAGCTCACAGCAGAGATGAGCCAGAGAGGAGAAACGCTCCCAGCTTTCTGTGGCTCCCCTTCCCAAAACCTGCTTTGCAGGGAGGTGGAGAGCTCTGACTTTGTGCTAAGCCAGCCCCAGTATCTCACCCGCTCTGAAGACCAAAGGGGTTTTCATAAGAGCTGCCCAATACAGGTGCCTGTTGCACATCTCTCTTGCTCCTGGGTTCTTGTCACTGTGCCCCAAAGCCCCAAGCCCCAGCCCCCCCGCCCCCACCCAAGCCAGAAGAGACCCTGGTTAGCTGGGCTGTTACCGCAGTATTCGAGGTAGCTCTGGACTCCTGTAGATGTACTTGTGCCGGTAGCCAAGGTCTGTGTGGAACGGAACAAACTGCACCTTGTAGTCTCGGAAACTCCGTGATGTCGCAGCGATGTTGTAAAGCTGAGTCCAAGGAGAAGCAGGTGAGGGACACATGTCACTCCAGACCAGCTACCCCTGCCAAACCAGCACCCCTCTCAAGGGTGGGTTATGGGCCCTGGCTTGACCAGCTTTGCTACCTCTAGCTCCAGCTCCCTTTCACTATTGATTTGCCACCTCCAACACCACAGAATTTGTAGTACCTTCAGGCTATGCATTTCTACATACACCTTCCTATTGCTGACTTTTTGCCTGGCTGGGATGTGGTTCTAGCCACATCAGTTCCTCCCACCAGATCAGTTTGCAGAGCCACACATGTACCTTCTTTCCCAGATGAAACGGTACCACCGGGTCATCCTCAGCATGAAGGATGAGCAGGGAGCAGGAAATGTATTTCACACTGTAAAAGACACAACAATGTCACAAAGGCTCAGAGCAATCCCCATCACTCTCTAACACCAACACACTTGGATTTTCAAGGAAACTCAATGACAAACATGTCCGGTGGGTCACTGACTGCAGTTCAGCTCTTGAAAACACTATTATCTGGGCACCATTCATTTGATCTATAGAAAATTTACTAGTGAAAGGCACCCTTGTAAAGCTATTTACTGCTTAGACCAGAGAAAAGTGGCTCACCCCACCGCAAAGCATCATCTCCCCAGGTCTGGTTTGGTTCCAGTACTGGAAACCAAATTCAAAAATACTCAGGCTCTTGAATGAAAGGCTCAGTGAAAAGAGACAATGTTATTACATGCAGGGTGGCTTATGCAAATGCACAGCAGGGAAATCCTCCCAGACTTTCAGTGTCCCAATGCTACTGTTTAATGTGTAACGTACACTTGAAAAGCATAAATCACATGGACCAAATTAGCATATCCCTGAGTAGTCTCTGTGCTCTCTGTTGCATCTGTCCTTATTAAGAACAATTTGAAAAGAGCAGCTCTACACTGCAAAGCTGTGTTGCACTCAGGGCTGTGAGAGTAACTGAAATCCCTTCAGCAAGTATAATGCTTCAGGGGAAAAAAAAAGAGAGAAAAAAAAAGCAGAGAGTGCAGTCTGATGTCTATCCTCCTTGATGCTTGCCATGGCTCACTGCAGCCACAGCTGAAACCCCAGCAAAGAGGGAACTCACTTCTCATCGTTTGCAAATTTAATTCCACTTGTCGTGATG